CCCCCCCCCCCCTGCAGCTTGTACAGCAATTGCTCTGCTCTGCTCTGCTCATTCACACACTCACCCTGATAGAGAGAAAATCGATCCAGCGCTGCACAGCAAACTTAAAAAATAAGCCTGCCTGAAGAAGGTTCACAGAGGAACTGAAACATCGCGATAAGGCTTATTTCATTCAGAAAAATAAAAAAATACTCACCTGATCTGCTCCAAAATGCAGAGGGAAAGACGAGGGGAAAACTGGACGGTGGTCAGCTATCGCTGTGGACGCAAGACCCAGCGAAGCTATGCCACTCCACAATTCAAATCCTCCGCTGATTATTATCACGAACATGATGATTACCGACACTCACGTGCATCTGTAACCAGAATGGGAATAAAGAAGGGAAATTACCCTCACAGACAGATGTGAGACCCAGGCCACGTGCCACAATTTTTTGATCGTCAGAATCAATCTGAATCTGACATTACAAACAAGAAGACTAGTGTAAAACTCACATACATAAACAAAAGACAACAATGACAACATACAGACACATAATGGGGAGAAAAAGGAAGCCTCAAAGTTGGAGGATCCTGACTTCAGACAGAAAGTGAGGGGAATGCACACCATTATTAAAATGACTCATCATATTAATAATGTGTCAGCTCCAGATACACCCCCCACCATAGCCCATCTGGCTCAAAATCTGGCCAGAAACATCAAACCTGCATCCCCAAACAATACCACACAGACATTAATTGAGAGAAATGCACTAAATTGGGCTCATACAATCATACTCATCCTCAAAGATCATTACAACCATGGAGAGTGAAAATAGAAAAATTAAAGACACTCTCCCCACATGACTGCCCCCCTTTGAGGTGGCAAAATCCTGGGCAAAGAGAAACCTGGGTCGCCGCCTCAAGGAGGAGACATTGTCCCAGGTTGAGGCCTTACTGCTGGTCCAGTTTGCTGATCACATGCTGCTGGAAAAGGCAGCAGAAGAACAGAATCAACCTGAAACACAAGAAGACATAAATATAAGTACACAAGGAGAACAACAGATTAATACAGTGACAGTACAGGTACAGGACATACCACACCAGACTGTCCACCTAACAAGAAGAAAAAGACAATTACCACAACAGTGTCAACTCAGACCTCAGTGACAACATCAAAACAGAAGAGCGACTTACCATCATGCACGGGGAGAACAGAGAGGGAATTTACCCCCCCAGCTCCTGCACACAGAAAACAGGGGACCTTACAGTCCAAATCTTCTCCTGCTGAGTTACCTACTTTTAGGTATTTTTTTAGTCAGATAGAAATTGGTTAGATACTTGTTGTATTAGAAATGTTTAGTGGAGACAGGATGTCTAGTTTAAATGCTTAGTCATTCTCATGGGTTTTTAGCAGGGTACATTATGGTCAAGGATAACCAGATAGAAAAGTTTGATTGTCAGCAGGCAGGAAGAATATTGTTTTTATTATGATATGTTTAACCGTAATTGTAATCATAATATTTTCTTATGTTTAATGTCATGACATATCACTAGATGTCATGTCAGAATGTTCTTAGATACACACCACTTAATCAGCACTCACACACATCGATTCTCTCCATGTTTTGACTACTGCTACGGTCAGCTGTAAAGCTGGCATATCAGGTGACACCACGGTTTGACGTTGCTGTGTAGAATGGGGATAGCCCAACTGAAGTGATAAATGTATAGGCCTATTGTGGTTCAGGGTCTTTCATTCTTCGTCTGCCTGCATGCAGTATTGGAGGTGGAAGATACCTGGACGTGTAATGTTAATTTTACCTGTGATCCTTTGAATAAACCAGCACGATTTTTTATATCCAAGTGGACTGCCTCGTCTCTCTGAGTTCCTGGTCAAAAGAACTGAAAATCTGCCTTCACTACAGACAACTCAAGTTATAAACAGAGCACAAGAGACATCATTCATACAATCCTCAACAACAATATTACACTATTCAACAGATTTTCCTTCAGCCAGTTTAGCAGAGAAATAGGCAACAGGGCGTTGTTGTCCACCCTGTTCCTGCAAGAGAACAGATGTTATACATGCATTTTTCTCATACACAGTCTGTGTGAAAGGTCTGGTCGGGTCAAGTAGTCCCAGTGTCAGTGTGGACTGCAAAGCTAACATCAAGTAAGTGAAAGCCTTTTCAGCATCAGGAGTCCATGTCACTTTATCGTAAGATTGTAGGCCTTTACCATGAATCAGTGCACTGAGTGGGGCCTCGAGTACGACATGATGCTGGAGGAAATTCCTACAGTAGGAGCACATGCCCAAAAAGGACATCATTAGATTTTTGTGAGTGGTTTTGGAAGCTGCTTGGATAGCTTCAACTCTTTGGGTGAGAGGGATTGCCCTCAACTGTGATCACATGACCCAGAAATGTAACTTTAAGTTGTACAAACTGCAGTTTAGAGAGACTAACTTTATGTTCAGCCAGGTGCTGCAAGAGTTTAAGATATTGTAATAAAGCTGTGCCTTTTAGCAAAACAAGTGGCTCAAGGCTTGACTGGAGTTGTTTGAGATGTAGTCATTGTTGTAGAGTGAGAACAGCAGGTGGGGGCAGGCACAGTGAGCTGGGTAGGTTTGGAACAGAGAATGTCAGGGATGATTGTGTTTAAGGTTGAGCTGAAGTCCACAAAGAGGATCCGTGCACAGGTCCCTGGGGAGCTGAGGTACCGCAGGATGTAATGCAGTGCCATATAGACTGCATCATCCACTGAAACTGCAGGGGGTCCAGCAGGGGGGTCTACAATGTCCTTGAGATGGGCCAACACCAGTCTCTCAAAGGATTTCATTATGACAGATGTCAGGGCAACAGGTCTGTAGTCATTCAGTCTGCTGACGGTGGGTCCTTTGAGAACTGGGATCATGGTGGAACATTTGAAGCAAGAAGGGACTTTGCACAGCTCCAGCTGAACATAAGTGTGAAGATGGGGTTTGGTGATCAGCACAAGCTATCAGGCTGGAGGGGGCCACACTGTTTAGGCATGGTGCCTTTCTGATCTTTTGTTTAAAAAAAAAAGCCACCACATCTTTTTCACAGATCTTCGGGGTGGGGGCTGGGGTCAGGAAGGTGATCACGGGGGCAGCAGTTGCTGGGCCTGAGGTGAGGGGGGAGTTCTGTTTCTCAAACCTAGAGTAAAACACATTCAGGTCATCTGCCAGTTGATGGTCTTCCACAATGGGAGGGATGTTTGTCTGTAGCTAGTGATGTTTTTCAGGCTTCACACAGACAAGGGGTTGTTGGCTGAAAACTGTTTTTTTCTGCTTTTCAGAGTAGCTCCTCTTTGCTACTCAGATCTCCCTTGTCAGTGTGTTCCTGGCCTGCCTGTACAGGATCCTGTTCCCATTTCTGTAGGCCTCCTCTTTGGCATGACAAAGCCGTTTGAGTTTTACTGTGAACCAGGGCTTGTTGTTGTTATATGTGCAGAAGGACTTGGTGGGCACACACATGTCCTCACAAAAGCTGATGTATGATGTCACAGTGTCAGTGAGTTCATCCAGGTCTGTAGACGCAGCCTCACATACACTCCAATCTGTGCGGTCAAAGCAGCCCTGTAGCTCTGACTTTGCCTGCTCAGCCCATCTCTTCACTATTTTGATCATGGGCTTCGCAGCTTTAAGTTTCTGCCTACATGTTGGGATGAGAAGGGCCATGCAGTGATCAGAGAGACCAAGGGCTGCATGTGGGGCAGAGTGATAGCCGTCCTTTATTACTGTGTAACAGTGGTCCAATGTGTTTTTGTCCCTGGTGGGACAAATTACATGCCGTCTGTATTTGGGCAGTTTGTGGGTGAGGTTTGCTCTGTTAAAATCCCCTAGAACAATGAGTGGGGAGTCGGGATGTTTCAGTTCAGAATCAGAATCGGCTTTATTGGCCAGGTGTGTTGGACACGTAAGGAATTTGACTCTGGTACAATGGCTCTCAATGCGTATGTACATGGCCTTATGTAAGGTAGCAGATGGCAAGTAACTAATATAAGGCTGAGAACAGAAGTAAATAAGTAATGTGCAATCAAGCAAAGGAATGTGCCTTAGAAGTAAAAAATAAAGTACTATATACACAGTCTGGATTTGACAGATCGATATGTACAAGGTATATATTTACAAGTATTGCACTGAGGGTTATGGTCCAGTCATACTGTTGTGGGGCAAGTGTTTATCAGAGTAATGGCCCGGGGGAAGAAACTGTCCTTGTGCCTGGTTGTCTTGGTGCACAGTGACCTGTAACACCATCCAGAGGGGAGGAGTTCAAACAGATTGTGTCCCAGGTGTGAGGGGTCTGCAGAAGTCTCCTCCGCCCTCCTCCTGACCTGTGAGGTGTACAGGTCCTCCATGGAGGGCAGGCTTGCACCAATAAACTTTTCCGCAGTCCTGACCTTCCGCCGGAGTCTGTTCCTGTCCTGCTTGGTTGCAGAGCCAAACCACACAGTGATGGAGGTGCAGAGAACAGACTCAATGATTCCTCTGTAGAACTCTATCAGCAGCCCCTTGAGGCAGGTTGAACTTACTGAGCTGATGCAGGAAGTACACCCTCTGATATGCCTTCTTGATGATGGTCCTGATGTTGGACGTCCACTTCAGGGGAGAGTATTGTCTCTCAAACCTGGAGTAAAACACATTCAGGTCCACACATTCAGGTTCCATGCTAGTTATCCAGTCAGCCAGATGCTGTAGTGTGCTAGTGTGGGCCTGTGGTCTTATGTCCACACAGCTTTTTGGATTAGCAAAAATTAGCAAATTAACAAAAATTGGAGAAAAGGTGTTCAGAGTGAGGTGACTGATGTTTAGTAGCTCATCTCTGGTGAAGGTAATCCAGGATGGGTTGCAGAAGACAGAAGATGAGGGGGAAAAAAACAAACACATGAGAAAGCACATGACTGAGGCAGCAATCTGCAGGGCCATCGTGGACTTATTTTTTCAGAGCAGTGCTTTTAATGCCTAGGCACTGGGCAAGGCGAGAGATAAGGATACTGTGATCCACAGTATGAAATGCAGCAGAAAGATCAAAAACATCTAAAAGATTAAAATCACCAACATCAGTACCTGAAAGAATATCATTGCTGATCTTTAAAAGTGCTGATTCAGTGCTGTGATGTGAAAAACATTTGCAACTGAATATAAACAACCTTTTCCAGAACTTTACTCAGAAACAGTAATTTAGATGGGAACTCAATCTAAGTGAGATCCAATTCCATGCATCTTGGTGATTGGATTAACTTGCAGGAAGACCTAAATTTAAAAACATTCATGTCCTTTGTAAAATAACATATATTGTGTTCTGCATCACTTTTCTACAGTTAAAACTTTGCTGAATATCTAGCAAATTGCTTCTCATTTTAATCCTGCTCAGGTGTGTCTTTTACTCCTGACTACATCCAGCTATAATATAGGTTGGAACTACTGTGCTATACCATATCAGTGCTACACTGCATGTGGAAAAACAGTTACTACTAGCTGTCAGTGTGAGTGGGACCATAAGACTGGGTGTCATTATCCTTTAAAATCTTAGAAATGGTTTAAACACTCACCAAGATCTATGCCTTTATGCAATATGATTGCAGAGTTCTACAAAAGCTCATTGGACTTCAAACATGATTTGATTTTTGTCCAGGGAAGCACTATGAATTATTGACCCTTCCTGTCTAAAAACGGACGTTTGCCTTTCTTGGCCATGTCCAGTCAGTTAAATTTGCCACAGCTGGACTTCAGTCAAGTTCTAGAGATAATTCAAGGACAGTCAAATATGGTGAACTTGATGCCACTTTAGAATGCTATGTGGAGTCTCATTGTTTACTCTATGTTGTGACTGGATTATTATGTGTAGAGATAGCCTACTTGCCAAATAAGAATTTTACATATATTTTAATTTAAGCATTTAACACAACAAATGTGCACAAAGTGAAGGAGTCTGATTATTTTCTGAAGCAGCTGTGTATTCCAATTTACCCACTCCTGTTCTACATAATGCCACAGCCCATATACATAGAAAACAGTAAGGGCTGGTTTTTCACCTTCATGTGAAGCTCCTTGTTGGCATGTAGGATACTCCAACAGTGGTGACACAATTGAAAACAGAATATGAATTTGTATATTCCACACTGGGATAAATAATAAACAATTACAATAATAATATCAGGATATTTAAAACATAAAGTCTGGTACATCTCTGGTTAATGCTATTTTATGAACAATAATTTACATCTTACAAAATGAAATAATTATTTAGCAATTGTCTTAAACATCAACTGTACACTAACTGTACACATAGCATATTTAAAGACAGGTTTTATAATCATACTAATTCAGTTATTCATAGTCATAATATTCTATAAAGTTACAACATATTGCAGTTATTTGGCATGAAATTGCTATTACAGGAAATATCCCCTTTGTGTGTGAGTCTCCACAAAAAAAAAAGTATTAAACATTGGAGGCGTAGAAGTTAGAGTGTAGTTGGTTCTTTAACAGAAAACACACACTGCCGTCAGCTTGGGATCATGTCAGGTAATGTTCTTAGCAATCGAAAGTCAGGAGGACTATTTGGCACAGTGTGCTACAGTTCAGTGTTCAGTATATAACCATCGTCTCTTTAAAACAGTTTCAACAAAACTGTACAATATCATTTCCAGCTGGGTGGTGTACATTAATAAACCGACAACTGAGATTTGCGAAGTGACTTGATGTTGGTGGCAGCATAGCATGTGTTTCTTAAACTGTGACACATTATTTTCGATAGCCGTGGACCAAACCTGAGATAGAATAATATTACAAAGTTCTTGTGATGGTGCTTGTATTTGTGTTTGGTAATTGTTGGTGGCAGCATGTGTGTGTGTGTGTGTGTGTGCGTGCGTGCGCGTGCGCGTGCGAACTTGTGCATGTATCTCAAGGTTAATAGGGCTCATAAAAATATCATACACTGGGTTCTGTCATTACTATTCTATGGTTGTCCTAACACTGTTGTACAGTAAAGGCTGTGAACCCAGACTAAATACTGTCACTGTTCTCCATAATGGAACAACCCTTTACAGCCAGAAACCATGTGACTGTATTTAGTGTTCATACTAAATAGATATGTTTTGGGTGGAGTGACACTTTAACTGACATGCTTTCATATGAATATTCATAGACTGATTTTTTCAATAACTGTGATTTTGCACACAAGCAAACAAAACTCCAGTGAAAGAAGAAAACATCTTGATCAATCTGACAACACTTAAAAATGCTGCAAAGAGAGAACACAGCCAAAAACGGTTGGAGAAAACAACCAAAGACGGAAATACTGCATTTTAGAGTTACGTAATACAAAAGATTTTCATGGGACCCTGAACACTGAACACACCTTGGGCACATGGTGTGTGGTGTGGCAGAGGAGGTCCACAATTAGTTGTAGTTATAAAATGAGCTAACAATGTACATTTTAATATTTTGATTATTATAGCCCCCCCCCCAATCCAATCCATGGATGGATGGATTCAAATATTTTTGCAGGTATTTACTGTTACCTTGCGCTAACTTTTAACTGATTTCCAGCCTACAAATTCAATTAATGGCATGTGATATCTGTATCATGCAATCAAAATATTAAAAGAAAAGAAAAATCTAACATTGTTAGCTCTGTTGTGTTCTTTGTGACTTGCATTGTTTCTGTATTTGGTTGTGTTTTCTGTTTTCGGAGCATTTTTTAAAATGCTGCTTGTGTTGCCAAATTGAGGACAATATTTTCTTGATTTACTTTATATGTGTGTTTATTATGTTACAGTGCAATTAGTTCTCAGGGCCACCATACACTTAACAATTTGTATTGTTGGTATGGGCAATAATTCAGTGTTGAAAGGTGTTTTTAAATTAAAAAAAAAACATTAAATGTTTTAAAAAGTGTGCATGCAGCTGAGAGATATTTACAGTACTCTTACAAACAATTTTAGGTTTGCCCCACACAAAGCTCCCAATCAAACACAGAGCTTTGCTCCATGGATTAACCACCACAGTGTGTGAGCCTATATAGTACGACACCTTCACTATACATTTATATGAGACATGCAGCATCGCTTGTACTAGGTTACTGACTCAAGCACATTGATCACTTGTCCCAGATCACCAAGACCAAAACTGTGGTGTTTTAAAACCATCCACTGCTAAGTGAAAATCAAAGGGACAATATGTTATTGTATGGTATTTAAAACACAAGTATCCTGATAATTTCTCTCTTAGTGCATACGGCCCTGAATGGTGACATTCCTTACTGTTAGAAATTCACTGCTTTATTTCACTGTTCTCCTCCATTTAATCAATTCAAGAACTGGAGAAGCTGGAGACCTTTGGGGTGCGTCTCCCTGCCCTTTGACCACTCCTGGTTCCAGTTTGTGAGCCTCCTCCAACTTCCTGAGCCTGCTGGATCCTAAAGGCTTCCCTTAGGTTCTGAGCCCGGACCTCCTTGCTCTGGATCTCCTCTACTACTCGACTAGGGAACCAGCCCCTTTCGCCATCATGGAGCCTTTCACCCATCATCCAGCCTGGAATACAGATGACATGGAAAGCCCAGAGGTGACAAGAAGATGGAAAGAAAAAATTACATTTTCTTTTCTATAAGCAACAACCAAAGAGAGGATGTAAATGCATATTTGTATTTCTACACACCATCATCTGTTCTCTCTAGGAGGTTCAAAACATCCGCCATCTCAATAGAGAGTTCATCTGGCTCCTGAGATGAATATGACTGAATGCACTGCACCTGTGGGGTGTCTGATTAAGATCACAGGTTGAGTTCATATCTCCACAACTGCATGTTGAAAACTACACTCAGTGTTGGTATGATAGTCTCTCTCACCTGTTTGGTGGGCACTAGTAGACATAAAGCGTGTGCGCCGGTTAGGAGTGAGAGCACACATCCATCGTAGCTTGTCGCTCCTGTCCAGAGGATGCCACTGATTAATTACCAGTTAAAGGTCAAATAAATTTTTATAACTTGAGTTGTTGGCTATTATCTTAATTATCCTTCAGAACAATTTACACAGACAGTTTATACAGTTTAATAGACACATAATGGATTTTTCTCTTTGTCAACAAACCCAATAAAAAAACAGTGAAGAAAATGAGCAACAATGAAGTGATCCTATTAACAAGTTTTGTCTGTCTACCCAAAACCTGCTCCACTGCTGTCCCAAAACTACTAAAACACATCAGTTAGTGACACTCTTCTAGTGACTGACCTGTTCCTTCGTTACCATGAATACTTAGCAGTTTGTTCTGTTGTATGGTTTATTTTTCACTGTCTCACATTCAATATCCTGCTCCTAGGAGTACTCACTAGAGCATCAAATGTACTAAACCAATGCCTTGTTGTTTCTGTCATCTTCTTGATTTTATTTTTACCTACAATGCAAAGCTAGCAAGATGGCGCTCCCCAGGGTGCGACGTCGCAGTTCACTCAGAGTCAGGTTGTTTCTCTTTTGTCTCTTCTTTGCCTTTTTGTGCCGTGTTAAAGCAACCATAAAGACTATATTTATGACCAGGCGACTTTGTTACTGCTAAGAGAGCGCAGTCTTTTTGGAGATTTTGACCCGAGCACGTTGGACTCTCAGCCAGAGCTAACATGCCATGTCAACATGACA